CTTGTGTGGTGTCTTGTGTGGTGTCTTGTGTGGCAGTCAGTTCTTGTGTGGTGTCTTGTGTGGTGTCTTGTGTGGCAGTCAGTTCTTGTGTGGTGCCAGAATTCAGATTGGGGCCTCGAAGAAGAAATAGAACCAGTGCCCCGAGGCCCCCTTTGTTCACGGGGCTCACTGTCTTGTCAGCTCTCCCCAGATGTCCTGGAGCTTCGGCTCCTGAGAACCCAGAGGTTATTAGTTTCTGTCACCTTCTAGGTCTTCAGGAACTGATCCCCTTTGTGAAGCCTGCACCCATTGACCAGGAACCCTCAAAGAAGCAGAAGAAGCAGCATGAGGGCAGCAAAAAGAAAGGGGCGGCCAGAGATGTCACCTTGGAAAACCGGCTGCAGAACATGGAGGTCGCCGAGTCCTGAATGGCCCCTCCCTCCGCCAGCTTTTACTGTCTGCTGGCACCCAGAGCCCGCTCCCGGCATTGAAGCCGAGCACCCACTCATCGCCATCCCACCTGACTTTTAGCACAGCTAAGAGGGGAGCCGTCTGCAGTGTCCGCGGCAGTGTTCCCGTCTCCGCATGGGCATAGGATCACTCACTGACTGGCTGGGGAAACCATGTAATAAAGCATCTCTGGGGAAGGCAAGGACTCTCCTCGGTCTCCTTCCCTGGGCTCGAACCCAGGCTCTGACAGTTCCCCCTGGCTCCATGCTTGTTTTTGCTTTTCCTGCTCAATTAGGCTGTTCCATTTAGCCAGTCAGAGCGTTTGAGAAGGAGGGTGAGCGCCAAGCTTGGAAAGGCTCAAGGGCAACTGAAAACTGTGCAGACAAACGAGCTTGCAGGACAAGAGCCAGGATCCTCCTTTATCAATTTGTTTCTGCTTAAAAACCAGCTGGGACTAGATTAGAGACCAGAATTGATATCAAAAGCCTCAGGCTCCCTGGGCAGGACTCCACGAAAGGGGCCAGAGGCCTCCTGGTAAATGTGTTTAATCCAAAAAAGCCGTTGGATTCAAGAGCACGGTCAGGGCCTTATTAGCAGCTGCTCTCTTTCCAGTCATTCCCAAGTGGGGGGCCCACTGCTTAGCAGAGGATCAGGGTAAGCAGCAGCATAGGGGGTGACCAGAATGTTCTAGTCCCTTCTCTTGGAGCTCCCACTGTTGCCTAATAGCCAGTTCACCCTTTCCCTGGGAGGGTGATGTTGAGGCTCCTTATTTACAGGCTGCCTTTCATCTGCAATCTACAAACATGAACTTTAATAACACCTTATGATGGGCTAGTGCTGCCCTCCTAGGAGCCTGAAATACGTCCTACAGCTGATCTCTTTTATCTTTGTGACAGTCCCAGAAGGGAGGGTGGGGACATGATTATACCTGTTTGCTCCATGGGAGATAGAGCAAGTGGTAATGGAGGTGAGACTATGAGGCCAGGTGGGAGCCAGGAGGCCTGACTCCTCAGGGGTTGTGTTTGTTTTGTTTTTCGTGAGGATGAGAACAGAACTCTGAGCTCGCCTGTCACCCAGGCACCTTTATTTCCTCTCAGCTTCCTTCGTTCCTGAGCAGCAGCCTCCCCTGACCTGTTAGTGCTCGGCACCAGGGCAGGCGGCCATGTGCTTGGTGTTCCCCTGGGGGCTTGGGGCCGATCCTCTTCATCTTGCTACCAGAAACCCTGTCAAAACTGGGCACCTGAAACGTGTCCACAGTGGCTCTTGCCACGGGCAGACGAGCAGCCAACCTCTCCTGTAGCCCATTGCCCTCGGCTCTGGGGTAAGGGCCAGGGCAAGAGGACAAAAGAGCAAGCTGCTTCCGTTGATTCAGAGGCCAGAAAGCTACATTCCTGCAGCCTTGACTGTTTGGTTTGAAGGAAGGCAGTTTACACAGAGAGCAGGAGCCGGGCTCGACTCTTCAGCACATACCCTGTTTGAAAAACCCATTGGGCTTTGGGGAATTAGAGATGTTTCGATGCCTTGGATACCTCCCCCCTCCCCCATCTGGTCTTAGAGGTCACTATCTGTCCCTCTGTCCCCCACTCCTTTTAGCTCTGGGTGCCTGTGACCGACCTTCCACTGCTTTTTGCCATGACCCTAAACACTGGGGAGCCAAAGGCCAGGGCTCCCCGGCTTTGGCTGGCCTACCTTCTCACCCGACCAGTTTTCTGCACCTGGTTGCCGGCTGCTTTGTGCAGAAAAAGCCTCCTGTTCTACGCTGGCAGCCAAGCACTCCTGTCCGCCTTCGGCTGGGTCAGTGTTTGGACTGGCCTGGGCCCCTGCCTAGCAAAAAGGCATTAGTGGGAAACAGCTGCCGTGCAGACCAACTGGTATTGGCATCAAGTCTAGACCCCCTTCCTGAAGCCAGAGAAGAGGAGATGGGTGGGCAGCAGTGGCAGATAGGATGCCTTGGAGCTGAGGCCCCTTCAGCAAGCAGGACACATGTCAACACACAGCCCGCAAGCAGACTTGGGCACGTTCATTTACTGAGCACTGCCCTGTTCCAGGCCTGGAGCTGGGCTGACAGAATGGGACACACACAGTCTTGACTCAGAGAACTCAGTCACTGCAAAAGGTGTGGCTTGCCTCCCTCCAGAGAGCCCAAAACCTGACTCTTTACCTCCCTGGAGCAGTGGGTGATGCAAACCTAGTTTAGGATGGGCCGGCTGGCCTGGAAGCCCGCACTTGGGGCCGGGCCCAGATCACCTTGACTCCACCCCAGCAAGCTGCCTCCACAGCCCATGGTAGATGCCCTCATCCCTGGCACCTTGACTGCCCCATCTCCAGCCTCAGCTCCCCAAGTTACCTCAGTTAGCAAACAACCCCCACAGGCCTGGTGGAGTGAGTCAGAGCCCTGGGTCCTTTACCAAGCCTTGGTTCCCACACCTAGGAATTCAGGGCCCAAGATGCAGGTCTGGGTGCTGCCGGCAAGAGAGTGAAGAGGCCGGCCACGGTGGGGGTCCCACGTGGGACCACGTCCTGCCTGAGTCCAGTGTGTCAGTGACCAGGGAGCCAAGCTCTCCCCCCAAATAGTGAAACCACCCCTGGGTACAGGCACTTCCCTGCAGAGGCCCGTCCAGCCTTTTCTTCCCAGAAGCTTTTCCGGTTTACCAGTCCGAGAAGCCTCTTTCCCCCCCACCCCCACCCCCATACCTCCCACTGGGGGCCTGGGGCGGCCCTGGCTGGCACCCAGGATGAGTCTGACAGACTGAGCTGCTGGGATGGGCCCTTGAGAAATGTGCTGCAAGTCAGAGCCTGTGCCTGACAAGGGGCCTGCTCTGCTCCCCCAATCACCTCCCAGCACCCTGTTCTCCCCAAAGGCTCCTCCCTGAGACACCAAAGGGGGGCACAACTGCATCCCCGGAGGAGGAGGACCTGATGGGGCTGACACCACGCCTCCGACATTGCCCTTTTAAGAGCCCTCCCCTACAGGGCTGGGGTGCTGCCCGCAGGTTCTTGTTGCAGACACCCCGCAAAGTGCAGTTCCCCTTGGACCTGCCTGGACGGAGTGGAGCCCACCCTGCCAGCCCCCATCTCCAGGCTCCCCCATCCGCCACTGGTGGAATAGAGGTGGGGGCTCCCACCACCTCAGATTCCGAGAGAGCCCCCCGTTTCTGGAGGGGAAGTTCCTGTCTTTAGCTGCTCTGATAGGCTGGCGAGACCTGCATTTTGGAGAGCATCTGGGTCCCTCCTTCGGACTTGGGCTTCCCTCTCCCCC